CACTTGACAAAACAGCGACAAAATTCAGGATAGTTTACTTTTTAATAATATTTTAACATTCACGAGAAAATGTGATTCAAACAAGTGTGAAGTATGGCCGAGATTTGGTGTTTCCGAGGGTGACAAAATTCAAACCAAGTGTTTTTTTAACTGACATAATTATGACATAAACTAGGTATAACTTTTGAACTGTGTCGACATGGGTCTCGGCCGTACTTCACGACCACCAATTTTATAGCATTTAAATAAAAATTTATTATTGGATGAAGAAAATTAAATGTTCTAGCGATCTAATCGTGATTGCTATTTTTAGAATGGTGATTGAACTCTTTATAAAAGTTTTGAACAGTTCTTCATTTCACAATTCTTATGAATAGTATAATCCAGGCGCATAGCTACGAAGGTAAACGATTTGAGAGCCAATCTATCCCAGCTATTCTTACCTTTGCTTAATTTGATAAAAATATTTCCAAACAAAATATTTGTAAGATCTTTAAGAATTTACAAAAATAACGATTTTTTTATTATTTATTTGTCGACGGTACCGTCCCAAATAATTCGTATTTATACATGTTTACTTTTTATATTGATTAGTGATTCATTTCATATCACTTTAGGTGATGTAGAATCTAGGTTTCGATTAAATTCAGGCTCTCATTTCAATCTTCTGTGGGTACGTGATACATTTCAGGTCCGTTCTGACAATACTCCATTATAAGGTAATTTTGTAGCTCTCGACCTTCGAGTTACCACACCAAATTTGAGTCTAGCGCCTTACCTATTCGACCAGAAAGGCACTTAACTGCTTTTCTAATTTGGTAATTTGAATTTAAATCAATTAAAAGTGCTTATAGGTCCACATTAAAATATATTTTCACAAATTTCGCCTTCAATAAAGAAGTTATGACTACAACGTGGTATTGAATGAACTTAAAGTATCATAAGCTTAATATTACTTTTATGTGAGTTTAACTTGAAATTTCTTTCATGTCTTCTTAATTATTTTTAAGAAGAGTAATTATGATTTTGAGCAACGATTACACTGTGCACAGTTATAAGAGCAATAATTAGTCGTAATGAGCATAAAAGTTCAGAAAATCATAAATTCGTTTAAAGAAGAACTTTATAAAAGTTAATAATTATAATTTTCAAACCAGCGAAAACGCTTAATGGAATGCTTTTCAAATTAATTTTAACCATTGATCTAATGAAATTTCTCAACACTTTTTCATTTCCATTAATGCACGACTATAACAATGAATTGGAATGCAGACCTCGCGGAATTTTGACAAGGCGTTTGTGCAGAAATCGAAAATATGAAGACAACGAATTGTATCGAAGCAATAGTTTTAGATTTCAAAAATTTGAGCGAAGTGGCGATGATGCAATGGTCAGAGGAATCAATAAGCAGGTGAGTGAAGAAATATGGACTGTACATTCCCTTTTTACTGCCAAAAGTGCTCATTTGATGAATTATAAAAGTGACGAATGTAGGTTAAATGAGCCATTTATGTTGAATGGAAAAAATCCTCCTTATGTATGTTTACTTTTAATCTGCAATAAGCTATTATTATGGTTCCATTAATTCGCTTTTGCGGGTGGAGTCATCAACATCATCTATTCTCATGAGACTTTTCATTCTCTCTGCATAACGTGAAAATGTTTTTTAAAAGAATTAATATTATTTTAATATATTCGCATAACAAAAAGTTTTCAATGGCGTTCATAAATGCCAGGTGAATGTCTGAACCTCCCACACTTTTGCTCCCTTACTGTGCTGCTATTATATGCTTCTCCACATTACATTCACAGAGTGTTTTTAGATAATGAAATTATAACTATATACGATAAGAAAGTAACCGTCCGTCCATTCATTCTGCTTCTATTGCTTATTTAATGCAACCATTTATGGCTTAACATCACTGTAAGTATAGTTGGAGGCGCAATAAATCAAATTTTTGATCCCCATAAATTAGATAGATGCTGTTAAGAAACAAAAAAAAGTTGGGAAAATGAGGAATGGACGTTGTAGAAAAATTGCAACACTGGAGAGAGAAAAATTGTTATTAATTTATATATGTGAAATGCTTCCCTCCTTCCTTCCTTATGCTTTGTTGTGTGATAATTTAATATTAATAATTGCGACTGAGAGAAAAGTTTTCTAGATTCTCCTCCTCAGCTTCTTTATTTACTTTTTTCTTTCCACATGCTTTGAAGCATGAAAAAATTACATTTTGCGCATTTTGTATAAAGCTACAGAGAGTCCAATAGATATTAAGAGTGGTATTATTCATTGAATTTTTAATTATAAATCCTTAAACTTTTTGAACATTTCAAGTCTCACAAACTTCGGCAGTAATTTGTTAAATTAAAACAAAACGGCTGAATGGACAAATTACGGTCAATTACACTTATTTCCTGAACACGAAAATATGATGAGAATTAAAAGGAAAATAAATTTGTTGGAAGCGTTATACCAAAAATCCCAGAAAACATTTTCTGTTTGTTTTTGTAGTTATAATAATTCTGAAAGTTTAATTAATTGCTTAATGTAACGAAATTGCTATCGATGGAATGTCTGAATTGTTTTGAAGAAATGGGAAGCATTACGTGAAGAGAATATTAAGATATTAGGAGACTAAATGGAATCTTCGTAAACCAAAAACTTTATTTCAAGTTTCAGTCACTGTCTCGGTAATGTTTAAGTCTTTCCAAACGTAAAAAAATTAAGTTTGTCGTACAGAATTAAAGTTGTATAAAGTTTGTTCGTAAGTTAATTGAAGATGATAAACAATTGGAGTAAATATCCAAATAATGGATCGAACATTTTAATGGAAAAATTATAATATTGGTTCTTAAGGTTGAACATAAATCATATCTTTAATTTTATTTTACTACGCAAAAGGTATTTTAGAGATTATTGCTACAGAAACATATTTACGAACCTTTTAGTTGCGACAAAAAAAGTAATGTTTGTCTCGATTTTCTTCTAATATATGAAGTTATATATCCATGAGAATTCACTGTTTTGGAAAGTAATAAAACGTTGTGGATAACCACACAAATTCTGACCAAAGTATCCAAAGGCATATAAACCACTATGAACGGCAGCAGGTGCTATTAATGAATTTTTAAGAGCAACTTTTACGTCCAATAAATTAAGTTCATTTCGACATTGTGAAAAAAGAATGTCCAGACGAATAAGCAGAACACAGAGAAAGTCTTAAAATGGTCAAAGAATTATTTCCATGTTCTTCAGATTTTATGATGTCAGAACATAAATTCCTTTTCTAAAAATAGGAAAAGCCTTGAGAAAGGACTTAAAAATTTTCGTCTTCTTTTTCTATTTTAAAAAAGTTTTCAGAAAATTTCTTCAAGATTTTCTTGAGTTTTCCTTTCCATTTTCATAAAAACAAAAGGGATGGAGTAAGCTATTCAGTTAGTCATGACTAAAGGAAATTCTTTTTTGAAAATCCTATTTCCTTATGCATGCGATACTTTCTGGCCTCATAAATAACATTCTTTCAAAAATACTTTTGTTGAGGGAGCTGTCCGAGCTGTGCATAAATTGTTAACATTTCGGAGCAATCCTTATAATTACTTACTTTAGTCTAAACATTCAATATAAAGCTATGAGAGGATATAAAATTTCAAATTTTTGATTAATGTTCTTATCTTTCCGAGAAGCACATCACAGTTATATTTGAAGCATTTTTAAATAATATCTAAGGCACTTGAAACTGTACTTTAGTAATTTAGCATCTTTAGAATGAATCATGTTGGTACCGTGACTTTATGTCCTTCTCAGAATAACTTCAAAACTAGCTCCAATGTGTAGCAAACCAAGCCACAATATGAATTCTCACAAACATTTTGTACAGCCCCAAAAAACAGCTACAGTTTGTATTTCTGTGGCCTATTATTACTACATATAATGGAGATGATAAGGGAAATAATAATACAAATGTGTTAGAAAGAGGAAATAAAGTCAAAAGTAATGTATATTCGAAAAGGTTTTCCTCCGAAATTAGTATGCAAATTTTTTTCTAGAAATAACATTTTAAAGGATAGAAATATTTTTCAATTTCAATTTTCACATACCATGGACATTAAATTAAATTCAATTTATGCTATATATGATACAAGGGGGATGTGACATTCCCAACTCACTCTCTCTTGAAAAGATTTATCTGATAAAAAGAGTCTTTTGTATACATTACATGTGAATCTACCGGAATCCCATTTAAAAATCTTGCTCGTTTCTTTTACCATATTACCCATCATGTAATTACGGAAATAAATTATGGAGAGTTTCATTAAAATGCATAAATGGTTTCATTTATGTAATAGTAGATAACTTTTGGATAATTCTTTGGGATCGAATTTTTAATAGAAAGCAAAGTTTTTTTTGATGTGGCCTTTAAAGTACTTTAATAAAAAAGTTTTGGCTAGTTAACATTAAAAGTGAAAATGGAAATGAGAAAATTGGGAAAGTGTAAGTTTTTTATATGAATAATGTATATTGTCTTGCAAATAAAACAACTTTCAGGTTGTTGCAAAAGTTTTACCACTTTTCAATTTTTAAGTTAAAACTTAGAAATGCTTGATTCAGACGAAGTTCGTCATTTTTCCTGCAAATTTTATAGTCAGCATACCACTGACAGCCAGAGCTCGAAGTCGACTCAAACCCTATCGACTTCGAGGTCTGCCGACAGCTTAAATAAATTCTTCACTAGTAAGACATTAATTAAGCTTTTCCAACGAAAAATTGTCAATACTATTCAGACCATGATTACAGGTTTGAATAGCTTGAATTCAAATTTCTTTCTTTTCTTTCAATCTGTTACTTCATTTTCTTACTACAATTTTCAATCAGCAATCAGAACGGAAATGATGTGTGAAAGGAAGTGTAAAAGGAAGTCAACTGTTAACATAGCCTAAGGATATTATTGCGATAGAAAACCTATTTGAAAAGAATTCAACAAAAGACATTTTTCTCATTCATTTTTATAAAAAAGTTTCTTTTGCAGTCGCTTTATTTTTACATATATTTTTTTACACGTTTATCCTTCGTTCGCTAATGTGATTTTTCATTTTCCATTCATCATTCTTATTAATAATTATAATGGTAATGGTGATGATGAGAGAGGTTTAGGTTTAGGGAAACAGGAAAGGAAAAAGTTACATTGTGTATTCTTTTAATAGAAAATAAAAAGAAATCATGTGTTAATTGGTTGAAAACTTCCATTTTCTATCCATGGGAAATAATGGATGAAAAATAATCTCTCATAAATGAAAAATGATGATGATAAATTTTGCCTAAATTAATGTTTGCTGTTTCGTTCTGTTTCGCTAATGGTCTCCTTTTTCCTTATTTCTTGCCATAGTTCTGTGGTGGAAGATATTGTTGCTGTGGCTTTGCAATAGGCTGGGCATTTTGGTTATATCCCTGGAATTGTTGTTGTGATGGATACACATTCGATGCCTGTGCATTATAATTATTGCTCTGTTGGGAGTGTTGTTGATGACCTTGTTGGCGATGAGCTTGTTGCTGATGACCTTGTTGCTGATTATATTGTGGTTGATAACTTTGTTGCTGATTATATTGTTGTTGGTTTTGTTGTGGTTGTTGCGCCTGAAGTTGTGCCAATCGTTGACCTTCAGCTTCAACCTCAGCGGCTATTTTCTTGTGAAGTTCAACTTGTCTATTTATAGATGAAAATTGAAAGTAACGATTTTTATTTGTCATGGGATAATAAAGATTGAGGATTGACGATTAAAATTTTCTATGCTTGACTACTTACTCGTACCACTCGGCTGTTTGTTCAGGTGCTTTTGGTAAATGATCACCTTGTGGCACAAATCCATTTGAGTCAGCTTTGTATGAAAGTGAAATTTGTTGACCTTCAGGTGATGTATAGCTGTAACTTCCAACGGCAACTTGTTCTGGGTATTCTGGGTATTGGGCATGTGGATTGTTAAGATAACCTGAGCATAAAATTTACATATTAAATTAATGACTTTCAATCTTATCATTTTTTATGGAGAAGTACAGAATAAGCAATGAACTTGGAGAAGCAAAACCATTTTGGATGATAAATGCTTTTACTCACCTTCTTCTTCAGCCATTATTCCGTTTCCAGTTAAATATGAGAAGCGATAACGTCCATCACCTTGATGTGGTTCATTCTCGACTAGAATTTAAATAAAAAGAAAAAAGAATGTTGGAAAATTAATTAAACTTTAATTCTCTGTCTGTATGTATATTTAGGAAGGGATTAATTATGTCACTTTGAAATGAGTTAATGGATAGAAACTTCCTTTCTAGTTTAACACTTTTAATTAAAAAGGTTCTATATTCAAAGCAGGAATAAAAAGATTTTCGGTTGCTAAACTTTTCATTCAATGTGTCAATTAATATTTCTTTAAAGTCATGTCATGGCATCTTGTTATTGTCTATAGACTTTAAGCATTCGATATTCACTAATAATTCACAAGACCACATCAAGTTCATTTCAAGGAAATTTCCGAAAACATTTTGAGAAGAGAATTCACTTCTGGGCATTAATAAATTTTAGACTTCATCTAGCGTCACATGATACATTTTTGATCACTCGATAAATCGAAACACCTTGTTTAAAAAATCCCATAAAAGGTTCATTGACAATTTGTCCATCTTTGATTACTGACATGCGAATTTATGATGCCAAAAGATGAATATTTTAAGTGTCGATGATAAGTGATTTATTATCTCAATCGGACTCTTGACGATCTGATACTCATGATGAAATCATTACTTTATTGAAACAGATTTAATTGAATTGAATCAATTTTAAAAAGTGAAATTTTCGCAAATCAAGATCCATTTGTGTACCTTGATGATTTAAACATTGAAAGCTTCGTTAATTTTTTAATCGAGATTTGTAATCCTCTGAATTATTTGAAGGACGAGATGTCTAATAGCCAATAAATGAGGATTGGAGAGAAACATTAATAAAATTTGAATTGAACCAAACTTTTTATCTTCGATGATGAACAATCTATAAATTGGAAGCCACAAGACTTGTCTGATTTAAATGATTTGACATTAAATCTTTAAAGCATTCTGAAGTTTTAATGAATGAAAAGTTTATGAATTTAAATTTATTGAAATCAATTTTCTTTTGACTTTTGATTCATTGACTTTCAATGACTTAATGTAGACTTTATGGATTCATTTAGACATGATTCTCTTGCTAATAAATTATTCATTTTGATATTATAAAGAACAAACATATTTGTCATCAGAAGCTCAGAATATCTTTTCATAATAATCTGTCAAATTTGATGCACCTTGGGAATCCAATAAAAGTATTCAGTCAATAAAGTCACGCATTTTTATAAAAGAAAAAAATTTGCATGACAATTTCGCAAACTGTTATAATGAAACTTCTATAATTGAAAGATTGTGTAATTTATGACATTGGCATCGACAAATTGAGCCAATCTTTTTGGTGTAAATTAAATTTTGATGTTTGACGATTGGAAGTTATTAAGGAAATCGCTTTGAAACTGATGTAAGAATTATGGAATTTCTTTGGTCACTTGAATTATTGTTTGCACGCAATCAAGCAGAAGCGTTGGAGTTTTTAATTGAATGTCTTCTTACTGTCCAAATAATCACATTAGATTTGATGAAATCTTCTAATTATTCAATATTTTTCTATAAGCACTAAGGTCATCCTTCAATAACTCACACAAGTTATGACTCTTCCTAATTGCGTATTAGTAAAACGTTTCTAAAGAACTCTGTCAATTCCTAATTCCTTAGCGTTTTTCGTAATCCTCATTAAAGCCATTATAAAATATTTCAACTATTGTTCACGATTAATAACTCTTCATTTTTATAACGATACACAAATCATTGTTATTACTTTGATTTGTCACTAATTTGTCATTTTCAAAGCACAGTCATCATAAATAATAAGGAATAGATTCCTAAACAATAAAAGCAATAAAATGTATAACTCACATTTCAAAATTGGAATTGGAGTTGTTGATGCCTGGTTATATCCGGTTTGTTGGTAATTGTATTGTTGTTGTGGTTGAGCTTGTTGATAGCTTGATGGTGCTTGATAGGCAGGTCTTGATGGCTGAGCTGGTTGTTGGTAAGATGTTGAGGCTTGTTGATATGTTGAGGCTTGTTGTGGAGCTGGTGCAAATCGTTGAGGTTGTCCAGCATTGTTTGAGAATGATCCTGCTGAGACTGATTGGAAACCGTTTCCGTGTGAGTGGGATGTGAATGTTCCTTGATTCAATCCTGGACGGTTAACTTGTTGTTGTTGGAATTGACTTTGAACTCCTCCAGGTGATGTATAAGATGCTTGAATATTTGATGGAAGTGCTTGTCTTGGAGCTTCTAAGTTAATTCCTCCTGCACTATGTGCATTTGGTGGTGGTGGAATGTATTGATTATCCAATCGTGCAGCAAATGCATTGACTGCTAATAATGAAATGATCACAAAAAACTTCATCTTCAAATATTATTTCACTAAACAAAATTAAATTCCAAATTAAATAAACAGAAATAATCCGAGATGTCTCACTGCATCAACTGAACAAATTAAACTGATGATTCTCACTGATGTTGTTGATGGTTTTATATAGTGAATCTGTTCCATTCATAACAGCGTCGCTTATACCACAGAAAAACAACTATTGCCGATGACGTAGTCGAGAATTTCGCATTCGTTCTCTTCATACGGCTCACGTTGCTTTACTTTGTAATATTTGAGATTTAAAGAGAGGATCCCCCATCATCTCTCATGTTTCACACTGCTTACATATTTAATAACTATTTCTTTATACAAAGCCGAAGCATTGGTTTTGTTTCTTACTCTTATTGGGCTTCACTATCTTTTTTTTTTCTTTCTTCCATGCGTCTACACAATATTCACAACGTCTTTATTGCAGAGAAAATGTAGTGTTTTGTCCAATCCGTATGATTTATTGTGTGAATGTAGAATTTATTAATTCTCATTTTCGAATAAGAATCTCTGACTTAAATTACTATATGTAGAAAATTATAGTTTAGATCTGAAATTGTAAATATAGTATATATCCGGAAAATTAATTCTAGTAGAATCATAAGAATTTTTTAAGTATAAGTCGAGAAAACTAGCAGACAGAAGAGCGCTATTGTCATCATCATACAGTCACATTCCGTCCCTTCTTAGATCTCTTTAGTCTTCAATGACGGCAATTTTATTTTTCATTTCTTCTCTTTACCATCGTTTTGGTTGTGGATAATATTGTTGTTGTGCATAAAGCATACATAAGAAAACCACATCGAATTGCTCAAAGGAATGAATTAATAATTAAACGTGTGATCACATATGCACTATGGGGCAAAATGAAAAAAAAAGGGACTTTCACTTTGAAAAATGGACTTTTCCGATTTACACTTTTTGGGTGATTTTTTCTTGTAGAGGACATAAAAGTAGATAGAAATGCCAAATTTCAGGTCATTTGGTGCTGATTTCGCGATTCTAGAGCTGTTTGAAGTTGAAAACTAGTGAAAATTCTGGTTTTTTCATACCATGTTTGAACCGGGAAATATCTTAACTGGTTTAAGATATTGCAAAACGGTTTTCAGTTCCTATTAGTAGTATATAAGAGCTTTATTTTGACATATAACAAAGTTTAGGTTCTGAATGTTTTCGTGCCATTATGGTAGAACATATGTGAAAATTTCAGGAAAATTATCTTCAAACAAGCCGCAACTATCATAAATGAAGAGTTTCCAGGCAAGTAAAAACGCAGTTTTGTAGCCCCATATATCTAGTTTTCAAAACTGTATAAACTTTGAAAAAGTAAGCTAACGTAATTGAGTTATGTTGATTTTAGTAGGTCGTTGAGTATTTGGCCAAAAACTAATAATTCTTTTAAAAATACGAAAACATAGTTTTAAAAATAGTTTTTTGGTGTTTTCTTATGAAAAATAACAATTTAAATGATTTTGTGAAGAAAATTTTTCAAAAACTTCAAAATCTTTCGAGATATAGGGGGTATGTGCTCTCCATCGATTTGGCCATTTGTCACCCTACTTAAACCACTATAACTTTTTTTTGAAAAAATATTTTTTAATTCTGTTTTCGGATTATTGTAGCCTAATGTAATACCTATCCAACGATATATAATACTTGCTAGTTAACTTAGTCCTGGTTATTTATAGGGCTGTTGATTGTGACATACGCAGTTTTTGAAAAATTCCCAAAAATTGCATTTTCAAAAATACCACTTTTAAGCAATCTCGAGTATTTTTTTAGAACTTTTTTATGTTTATTTATGACATTTATGAGATTATAAAGCCAAAAAATTAAATTTAGAAACTTTTTACTTCCCTAGTTAACAACTTTGTAAAGTACCCTTGGTAGTCACTATCAGGTGTGAAAATCTCAGTTTTGAAACTATTTTATATATATACTCGTGAAATTCTCTCTACACATCATATCAGTTTTGAACTTCATTGAACAAGTCACTTTCAAAAATGAACCAAAATTCAACACTTACGAAGAAAACACTCTGTGAAATTCTTCGCGACAAAACGTTAAATCTTGCAACACAGCACACGTACTGTTTGGCAGTAATAGAAGAAATTCATGGGAGAGAATTAGCGGAATCACAGAAACCAAGTTTAATTAATAAATTAAACAAGCTGAAGTCAAAGTCAAAAATGTTTTGTAATCAGTCAAATTGGAATAATGCATTAAGAGATCATGCAGATTTCTATGAAGAGGAATTTGAAGTTGACTCACGATACTTCAGCGAATCTAGTGGAGGGATTCTTTTTGAGGAAGAATCTATATATGAAGCAGAAAATGTTACTGACACAGATGAAGATATGGATGAGATTGAATACATCGTCCATGACATAGAGCCTTCATCCAGCAAGGGCATCAAGAGGAAATCATTTGAACAACTAACAAGCGATAAGCATCGACGTAGAAGAGTGGACGAATTAGATATCAGTTTAAAAGAAGCAAAAGGATCATTGTTATCAGTTCTTCACTTGGCACTTCGCCTTTCTAAAGAAGAAGGAAAAGTAGAAGGAGCTAAAATGTTAAAAGAATTTATTAAGGCGTGCCAAAAAGGAGAGGATCTTCCAGAAAAAACTACATCAAAACCTAAACAACTAGATATACATGTAGCTCTAGGTGTAAAAGCCTTTAACAATTTATCTCGAAATCAGTACAACAATATTCGACAAGTCCTGAAACTGGAATGCGAAAACGTTTTACCGACAGCTAAAAAATTGTTGAGGTTAGAGAAACAATGCTATCCTGATGACATAACGGTCACCGATACAAGAGCCCAGGGGCGTAGCCAGAAAATTTTTCAAGGGGGGGCCCATTTTTGAAAATTAAAAAACCGTTATTTTGTATCCTTAAATCTATATTCATTCTTCATAAGTTTAAATATTTAATTCATTATTCATACATTAAATTTAATTTTTCGTGCTGATTTTGACATTTCTTTCATCACTTCGTCTACATTAACTGGTTCTTCTCTATAAATACTTAATAAAGCAATTATCAGATTTTCGTAGGGGGGGCCCGGGCCCCCTATGGCCCCCCCCTGGCTACGCCCCTGCAAGAGCCGTTATTCCACTAAAAAATTTGACACAACTCACCACAAAAAGAGTTATTGAAGCACACAATTCAGAAATATACGACAAAATCAAAATATTACCTTCAGAATCAACTCCAAAAGTTATTCATGCAGAAATGATCGTCACATGGGGGATGGACGGAACAACAGGACAGTCACAGTATAACCAAGGAAAAACAAATTCAAGAAATCAAGAACGAGATAGAACACAACCGAATCAAACGACTAATAATGAAATTATAGAAGACAAATCACTATTGACAGTTAGTATGAGTGTTCAGCAACTACGACATGAAGACGAAAACGGAAATTATATCTGCTTATGGGACAACGAAAACAGTCAATCTGTATACTCAGTACGACCAATACAACTTGAACATGCCAAAGAAACCAGAGTAAATGTTAGAAGGATATATGAAGATATAAAAAATCAAATATCAAAACTTGAACCACAGAGATTCATATGTGAAGACATGCTTTTGGAAATTACGTACAAATTCTACCCCACAATGTTAGATGGAAAAGTTTACACAGACCTTACAGAAACATCAGGATATTGCAGATGTCAGCTTTGTAGATCTGGACCAAACGAGATGAGTGACATAAATAATCTTGATAATGGAAGATTCGAAAAAACACACAGAAAATTTGTTAAAGAACACTTGTATTTCAACACTCAGCCACTTCATACATCAATGAACGTACTCACGACTCTATATGATTTGTCATATAAACAATATGTTCAAAAACACTGGCTGGAGATAACTGAAGAGGAACAGATTGTTTTAGATGTTGAAAAGGCTAGAATAAAGCAAGCAATGTGGGATGCATTTAATGTTCGTGTACTCGAACCAAGACAAGGGGGAGCTGGATCATCAGATACAGGAAACGTTGCAAGAAAAGTTCTTGAAAATCCAGAGCTTCTAGCTAAAACTCTATATCTTAATGAAGAAATAATTAAACGTATATGCTATGTGCTAAACCAAATTCGAAGTTTAGAACCAGTTGATGATCTAGATGAATTTGATAGGTACTGTAAAGAAACATACAGAATGTTTTTGACAACATATAGTTGGTTCAAAATACCAGTAACACTTCACAGAGCACTTGCTCATGCAAAACACTACATGGAAGCCTTACCATTACCTCTAGGAAGAATGAGTGAAGAAGCCGGGGAGTCACAAAACAAATATCTCAGACAAGATAGAGAACTACGTGCCAGAAAAACTTCAAGAATACACAGTTTTACGGATGTTATACATAGAAGACTCTACAGTTCTGATCCAGTAATAATAAAAAAATATATGGATGTAATAAATAAAAGGTTAATGAGAAAAAATGTCCAAGAAGAAGGTGAAACACCTGAGCAACAAACAGAAAATGAGGAAGAAGATGAGGAAGAAATTGAATTGATTGAGCCAGAAGGAGAAGGTTATGACTTTTCCCAAGCAGAAAACTATGATTATTCCGAAGGACAAGACCATGAATATTCTGAAGAAGCAAACAACGAATGAATAAATAAATTTCATTAAATATGATAAAAAAATGTAAATTAAATTTCTTGACAAATAAACAAAATTTCATTAAACTAAAAATTAAACTTTATTAATTTTACCTATTATAGTTGCGTATCAGAGTATTTTTTTTATTACTCTAATGATAATAGCTTTTTTCAGACTTAACATTTCTTAAAAAAGTCCAAAAAATACTCGAGATTGCTTAAAAGTGGTATTTTTGAAAATGCAATTTTTGGGAATATTTCAAAAACTGCGTATGTCACAATCAACAGCCCTATAAATAACCAGGACTAAGTTAACTAGCAAGTATTATATATCGTTGGATAGGTATTACATTAGGCTACAATAATCCGAAAACAGAATTAAAAAATATTTTTTCAAAAAAAAGTTATAGTGGTTTAAGTAGGGTGACAAATGGCCAAATCGATGGAGAGCACATACCCCCTATATCTCGAAAGATTTTGAAGTTTTTGAAAAATTTTCTTCACAAAATCATTTAAATTGTTATTTTTCATAAGAAAACACCAAAAAACTATTTTTAAAACTATGTTTTCGTATTTTTAAAAGAATTATTAGTTTTTGGCCAAATACTCAACGACCTACTAAAATCAACATAACTCAATTACGTTAGCTTACTTTTTCAAAGTTTATACAGTTTTGAAAACTAGATATATGGGGCTACAAAACTGCGTTTTTACTTGCCTGGAAACTCTTCATTTATGATAGTTGCGGCTTGTTTGAAGATAATTTTCCTGAAATTTTCACATATGTTCTACCATAATGGCACGAAAACATTCAGAACCTAAACTTTGTTATATGTCAAAATAAAGCTCTTATATACTACTAATAGGAACTGAAAACCGTTTTGCAATATCTTAAACCAGTTAAGATATTTCCCGGTTCAAACATGGTATGAAAAAACCAGAATTTTCACTAGTTTTCAACTTCAAACAGCTCTAGAATCGCGAAATCAGCACCAAATGACCTGAAATTTGGCATTTCTATCTACTTTTATGTCCTCTACAAGAAAAAATCACCCAAAAAGTGTAAATCGGAAAAGTCCATTTTTCAAAGTGAAAGTCCCTTTTTTTTTCATTTTGCCCCATATATGATGACTTTAATTATAATAAAGTAATGCAATTGCGTTATTTTATAAAATATTAGAATATTTCAATAGCTTAATGGATTTTTTTTTCTCGAGTAAGCTCAAGCTTAATAGCTCAAGTCATCTTTATTATTAAATAAAAATTAGTAATAAAATTAATATGCAATAACATCCGCGATAAATTCAATGAATTTTATGATTCTGCTATATTTGTCTCAAAAAGCCTCAATCATAAAGTTTTGCAACATATTGCAAAGAAGAATTTAAATGGAAAATCACGACCGAAAAAAACTCATTTATTATTTATTTATTTTTTGGGACATCACTTCGCATTTTTCTGTATGTTTAAAGAGAGACTGCATAGATCAGGTAATGTGGATCATTTTTTTTTTCATAAATTGAAATGATGTGAAGGCCGTCGACACAATAAATTAAATTTTTATAGTACGATGAATTGAAAACGGATTAAGAAAGCGACAAATATCAAGCAGTGCGCGCACGATATACCGGATCATTAGGCATCATATTCAATGATCATCAAACGATTTGTAGCTCGTTACCGCATCATCGATAATTTTCCAGGCGTTTAAATTTTTCGCTCATCTTTTAAATTTGAGCTATTAATTATTATTTTGTTGTAGGTACTTACATGCTTTATTTAACGTGTGATATTTGTTCATAAGGTAATTTCATACCTAACGTCATCAATCACTTATAATTAATCATATTTCATGTTATTTTTTTCAAATAGTCTCAACGTCTAACACGTTGACTCATCTAAATATAGGTTTCTTCCTAAATCTTTAACTCGTGCGGTGTATGAAATCTAATAGTTCATGTATGTAAATGAGCATGAAGAATATTTTTCAATGATGCAAATAAATATTTGATTTACTTATGGCAATAAAAAGCATGTCTAATTAGTGTGGCATTTTATTTACATACAAAGGTACTAATAGCTCACTTACAGTTCTTTATTATTATTTAAGAGGATATGTCAACAAAGCCATGATTGTACAGATAAATAAATCTTCATTTGCTTCAAGGAATTTGCCTTTGTTCTCTTAAATTCAAAGAATTTGTTCCATCCAAAGAATTTCGTCAAGATCAACCAATAATTTTCACGTTCCGATCATATCCTAAGATTTGCTAAAATCGATATGTCAGTCTTCATCACACAGATGCGAATATGAACATTTTATGAATTATTGGTCTCTCCTCAAAAATTTTATTTTTTTGCACATGATGAATCATGTTGTGAACTGGGAAGGAAGCGACGTTAAAAATTACAAGGAAAATAAAATTAATCAATACGATAAAGAAAATTAATAAGATAACCAATAACGCATTGAAGATGTCAATAATATGTTTCCTTCATTCACAGCTCCTTTCATTATTTTTCGCCACAATAATTTATATAAATACATGTTTGTTTTTGCATAAACCTTTTATTATGAAACTTAAACATATGCATCAAGTTCAAATACCCGAAAAAAATATTTAATTCGTCAAACTTTTTAACAAAGTCCTTTGAGGCATTTTTAACATTCATTTATTACAGACTAAAGTTTGTAATTGCAAAACAAATAAGTGAATTTCGCGAGATGAATCTTCTTGACTTGTAACATATGTTTAATTCTTGACATAATGATAATTACATTATGAACAAGATGATCTTTATGTGATGAATAATCTTAAAATATTTTTAATACAAGGAATTTGTAGGTAAAAATTACTTTTATTTATGAAAATGTTGTCATGTCTTGATATCATAATTAATTAAACATATGAAAAATCGGAAGGAGTTGTGAAATAAGTTTAAAATAATTAAACAATTTAATGTTATTTTTGAAAGTTCTGATCTGGATTTTGTTATTATTTGATAGCATTTAAATCTCAATATTGAATTTGAGAAAGATTTGAGCTAGCACATTTACTGAGGAATGTAAAAGGCAATATAACAATCTCAAAATCATAAGTATCTGCAAGGAAAAAATCAATACTAAAGCATATCGAAGAATTTATTCTTTAATAAAAGTTTTCCGTAATTTTCTTTCATTGCTATACTTTTATTTTATAACATTTCTCATCCTATCCACAACTGTGTAGCTTGTGAAAAATTATCTAATAAAACTGAGGCAAAAAAATCAATTTACAAACTAATGATGAGTAATGATTCACATTAATAACAACCTCTCATCGATATTTATTAATAGAATTAGATGAAGATAATCAGAATCTGCAGGAATTCACACATCATTTTGCAAAAAAAGATCATCTCCTCAATGTAATTGTTTTCATGAGCAAAGAAAATGGTAATTGAAATCGCTTACTGTGCTATAGCCTTAAGTACATGAAATATTCGTTTTTGATTAGATTTCTGGCAAGATGATGATTATTTTTTAACGCACTTCAAGATTATTATTACTTTTTGGCCAAGGAGCTTTGATTTTTAATTCGTTATAGCATTAGACTTTGGAAAGGATATTCTAAAATCTAGATTTTATTAAATTAGAAATAATTGCCAATAAATTTGAAAGTCTATAAGATAGTTTCGTAAGACAATTGCAAGGACAGCAATATATCAAATTATATTCATCTGCTTAAAAGGAAGCTTCTCGCCATAAACTTAAGTACTTAGTGAAATCGTGTAAAATTCCAAATTGTTGTAAACGCCCATCCACTTAAGTATGAAGTAAAAGGACATCAATAATTTATGTAAGGAAGCTTTTATCGTCATTTACACTTCTAACAGTAAAAGCTTTGAATTACAATGATCTGATTTTGAGATTACTTGCTAATTATTGGGCTGTAACTGAATATTTCTTAAATGTCAATGCTTTAATTCAAATTAACAGGACTATCATCATGTTGCCCATTAAAGTTTAAATTTTCTGTCTACACATTTGGGTTCATGTTGTGAGAAATGCGCAAAAGCCATTCCATACATGTTACCTGTGATTTAATCATTGATGATTCGATAAATTGTATTTTTTATGAATTCAAATTAACAAAGTTGAAAGAGATGAACATTCGCAAAGAAATGATGCTTTTAATAATTGAAACAAAAGAGCGAATCCATCTATGTGACCTTGCATAAATCAAAAAATTATTCTGTTTCATTTTGCGCTCGTAAATATGCATATTATTGAAAGTGAACATTTCAATCCTCATTACACGTTATTGATTCAACATATTTTATTTTATTGGAATATTTACCTTCGGTACTGAACTTTATAGCGCACATAATTTTTTTTAGCAAGCAGTAATAATTGCTGACGATGTATCAAATCAGATTAATGCATCCCGTTTTTGATAGTTGATGAACAAGTGATTGTTTCTTTTTCTTTCTTTCGTTTATTTCTTTTTTGAAAACATGCTCATTTTAATTGGCACATATGAACATGTATGTGAAGTAAAAGGAGAATTGAAAGTAGAATAAATTTTTATGGATAGCCAGCCTTGAATTTTTTTCACCCATTTATAACTCTTGATCCATTAACAAAAAGTGCAATAAAAGTAGAATTGACTTTCGCTTAAGAATTACAATTCCTTGAGACTTCATACACATCTTCGATCTCAAGATCATCCACATTTTTATCTTTTCATCTAAAGAATATTTCTTTTCTCTTATCTGACAATAAAAATTACTTAATGAGCAACGAGCAATTTAAATTCACAACAATTCATATGTTTAATTTTTTTTATATGCTTCAAGGCATTTATGTAAGATGTAGAAATATTTCTTAAGGAATATTTTAGATAACCATTGACAGTAGCACGCATAACATAATACTTAATTAGCTGATAATGCATTGCCAGAACTCAATATTTACCATAACATAATATATGGATGTATCTAGAGAATTAATTTTAATAACAAAGTTGTCAC